TTCTTAAAAGTATTCATAATTTTACTATTGTTGGGCACAACAGAAGTTCTTATACCAATTTGTTGTGCAAAAGTTCTGATACCAATTTGTTGTGCGAAAGCGATCCAAACAAATATACCAAACAAATATACGATGGCAAATCCTAATAATAGCAAGATATTAATAAAGATAAAAAGAAAAACACCGTTAGACAAGATTTACATGGTTCACCCTCACAAATAGGGTTGCGTCTCTTTGGTTGTTCCCGACAATAATCACTCTCACTGAACACTCTCAAGAAAATCCCTAAATAATTATACGGTTTACATATCTCTCTTGAAGATTGCACGACAAAAGGATTTCTTCACACAAAAACCAATACAACTTATTTTGACTCTACCCTCTATTGATTAGAATCTCTCTCTGGGATCTCCCTGGGGGATCTATATAGGATCTACAATCTTTTGCTGCATGTTATGCCTAATTTATAGGCCCATGTTACCTCACAAAGCAATTTCATTCCTTATCTATTACTTTTCTTTAAGTTTACTTATTGCCTTATCAAACTCTCAGCTTGCACATTAAGCCATTCACATAGCCATAAAATTGACATCCACCATAATTGTATCATTCAACCAATAAAATTCTACCAAAATTCCACCAGAATATGAGTAAATAAAAAAAAAATTCAAATTAATAAAGAATTTTAGTTAGGCCTCCTCAAACTTAACCATGGAGATCTTCTTTTTTAACCCATGCACGTTTTGCGCAACCACAAACATGCCTCCAGTATTTTTGTCACTCTCTAAATGCTTATCAAAAAACACCCTCGAAAATTCTATGTTTGATTTATGTTTTTATAAATATAAATATTATCATACCTGTATAATGACGTTTTCTATTATTTAAGAATCCATCGTGTCTGTATTCATTCTTCACGTGTCTCTCTCCAATGAAAAAACCTTATTACAATAGTTGGAGCAGTTCTCATTGACAGACTAGAAAGCATGGACACTTCTACGAAGGAGCCGTACCCATGTCAGACACCGATAATCCTCCAATACGTGTCTAACACTTCATATACGTGTCCATAAATAAAAATTAATTTTATTATTTCGAACTCTTAGCCGACACTTCCCAGACACTTCGCCAACACTTCCTCAACACTTTGCCAACACTTCCTGGACATTTGTAACACAATTCTTACCAGTAATATTGAAAATAATGTGAATACTATCATGATAAATAGGGCTGTAAATAAACCGAGCCCAACCGAGTAATGGTGTGCTCGAGCTCAGCTCGGTCAGGTAATAAGCTGCTCAAGCTCGGCTTGAGCTCGAGTCGAGCCTAGAAAATTTAGTTCAAGCTCGGCTCGGCTATGTTTGACGAGTTTCGAGCCAGGAGCTCGATAACTCGTTTATTTATTTATTTTGTTACCTAAGTTCTAACAGATTTGGAACAAAAAAATAATAATAAAAATAATAAAATAAAAATAAAAAAAATTGAGAGAGAAATAAATTTAAAGCAATAAAAAGAGCGCGTGGGCGCGAGTGAGATCCCAGTAAATCTCTGAAACTGCTATTCTTCATTGATGGTTGGGGATCGGCACAAAAAAAAGTACTTTATGTGTTAGCTTTCTTGTCAGCAACGAGTCCAATGGACGATGAAGATTGGATTTTGGTGAGAAGATCCACAGACAAAGACTACTGGAACCCAAGCTCCTCCATAGACACAGAGCCTTCGAAGCCTTTCAAGGTTAGGTTAAATGAACTAGCCAAGCATTGGATTGATGCTATTCCCATCAGCAATGGCCGTCTCTGTGCTATGATTTGGGGTGGCGTCGCTTTGGAGAATGTTTTTGGTGGTTGGGGATCAGATGGTCAATATGGAAAAAGAGAACAGATGGAGGCAGGAGGTGCAAGAAAGGCAAAGGCAACCCTAAACATAAAAGGGTTTATATACAAAGGCAAGAAAGGCCTATTTGCATAATAACCACAAACTCTGTATATAATTACAATATGACCCCAACTGTCACGCCCCAAGACCTGTGTCCCGGATTGTGAACACACCACATGGATAAACTACAATTTCAAATACTAACATCCCTGTAACCTGTTTCACATACACAATATCATCCACCCATCCATTACTATTACAATCCCACACAGAAAAGTATACATGTAAGATACATTTATTACAACCGTGAAGTCTCAAAGTCTATAATAAACATTTATTACATAACAGGGATGTAACTGAATCAACGTTGCTCAACACTGTCTCACTTGTGTACATTGTCTTTTAAACAAAAGAAAACACAACGACCATTAGTCCCAAATATGTCTACAGCTGGGGAGGAACATCTTATGTGACTTTATTTCCCTGACCTAAAAAGATGTGTATAAAATAGGAGTGAGCAACCACAGCTCAGTAGGAATTGTCTAAAGCGCATTCCTTAATACCTCCGTGAATCCACACATATAACAGATATAAGATAAAGAGATCATACAGGCTCGGGAAAATAATATCATGTGAGATAATAAAATGAAGTACAATACAATGCTAATGCCAATGCCAAAAGACACTTCCCACTTCCCGAAACCTCAATCAATTCACACATTCCAACTGTTAATGTATCAGGCCCAGGGTAATCCCCAGCACCACGAGAAGAAGACTGGTCATCTATCCCTGACCCAAGGTAATCCCCAATGCCATTTGGGACCCAGTAACTCAACCACACGCAGAGTATGTCTCTACGTCTTCTCAAGATCCATTAACCACCTGGATACGAGGTAATCCCCGGCATCTAACTTTCACATCATTCACTTCTAATTTTTTTCTTAACAACCATCTAATGAGATGTCTTCACTTTCCAAACCGTTCCAAACTCATCCCTAAACCATGCGAGATGAATGTACATTCATAATGATACAATGTACAATATATTAAAGTTAATAATTTGATCATGTCCATATACAATAAACATTATCAATTAAATTCTTTTAAAATTTTAACATATTTATTAACACAATAAATATCACATAATCACCTGCTCGGAAAAATGGTTCTCAATTCAAATTTTTTTTTTTTTTCCAAGCAAATAACATTTAATTAAAGAGATATAATTAACCAAATGTAAAGGTCGTGAGATTTAAACAACCGTACCTCAAAATGAGCTGGAACCTTGTTAAACAATAATTTAAAACAACTTCGAGAAGGAATCAAAGCCACCCAAAATGAAAGGAATGTTAAACACCCCCTTTTGTCTAGCACAACCAAACCCTCTCTTTCAATACATTTTTTGACATCCCCACAGTTAGAAAATGCTCACAACTTCTACACCAAAAAAAAAAAAAAAGGCTTATGACTTCAAGAACATCTTTCCTTCATACACCAACTTCAAAACACGAGGACTCTAAATATGCAAGCAAAGGAAGTGACTATGGAGGAAAAGAAAAAGGTACGAAATTTCAGCGGCAATACACATTGTATCTATATTTCTGACAATTCATAAGGAGCCTCATCATATATCATATACATAGGTGTCAAGCCCACACACATAGTCAAAGGTAGGACTATGTAAAATGATCATAAAGCCTTTTAAACAATACCAATTCCCATCCACATCCTTTGCATAGAAAAAGTCCATTATTTCCCTCCATCTCATATCAAATACCAAGTATGTCATTTACATACGAAAGGTCAATAATACCCCTCATTAAATAACCAAATGCTAATTACCCCATTTTGCATGATAATGACCACAACACCCTTCCTTAAGTAGTCAAATGACATTTAAATAAAATTAAATCCATTTGCAAAATAACCCTACTCCAACAATAAAATAAATGATGCACAATCCGGAAATGATAAAATGCAAACCATCACACCAACATAAATATATATCTACATATAAATATGCTACATACAATTACAATCTGATCCCAATTTTTGCATATATTATAATTGGATATGTATATATATTATAATCGAGTATGTTCGTGAATACATTATCGAACCCAGTTCCTGAACAGTTAATGAACAAACGAGTCAAGTGTATTGATGTTCAGACTCGGCTCGTTTATAAATCGAGCATCATAATTCGCCTCGAGGTCGGTTCACTTATTTAATAAACGAGCTCAAGCCGAATAATTAACGAGATGAGCCAGAGCCGTTCGTGAATGATTTGGCTCGTTTGCTGCCCTCATGATAAAATAGTAGTGAAATAATAGTATATATGATATAAAAATTATTTTCGTTTTCTAATTTATTTTAGAGCAACTCTTAATATATAAATTATAAATGAATTAAAATTTTATACTATTATTAGTGAACATATGCATAAAAATAAATATTTATATGTAGCCGTATTAACGCCATATCTTACCCGTATCTTACTTTTAAAAATTTGATGTGTCAACGTATCCGTATAATATCGTGTCCGTGTTAGCAATTTTGAAGAACCTTTTCAGGAAGCACTGGAGTTGTGAAAGGTCGTTACAAGTGCTCAACTTAGGAAATAATTTCTTTCAATTCCAGTTGCCGGATGAACAAGTAAAAAAGCGGTTGCTGAGCAATTCTCCATGGTGGTTTGATAAACATTTTTGTGGGATGTATTGTCCGGTGGTGTGTGTTGCTGCTGCAGAATAATCCAGACCCGGGTTTTGTGGCGCAGCAAAACTGTCCGAACCATATGTGCATCTTCTCCAACATCAGTCTTCCATGCTGATTTGCTTTGAAATTGATGCTCAAGTATTATTCTTTAGTTGCAGTATGCACTCTATTTTCAGGTTATGTTGCGAGAACAATTAGGATTAAACATAAAATTCAATAGAAAGAATCAAGTTCAGCCACATAATCAAAAACTGAATGCAATTCTGAAAACAATTTAAACCTAAATTATATGGTCGATGTCAAGATGGGTTCTACCTAAATTACAAGTCGAAATGGATTGTCACGAGTGACGGGTAGAGCAATACATAAAGAAATACCAATAAGCGGCTATCATTACAAACTAACAAGTATTTAGTAAGTGGAAATCATTACGAACTTATAAATATCATCAGTGCAACATTCCTGTTTAGGCATGTCCATAAAGGAGCCTTTAGAACTTACAACAGATCGAATCTAGAATAGTTATGGCATACATATTGTATCTACAAGATATCCCCAGATTAATAAACTTAATAATACATATAAACCTTCATCAAGCAGTAACTTCATAATCTACTGCGCAGAGGTATGGATAGCAGCTACAGTTGAGACCATGGAATCCACCCCGCATATATTGCGACCCCTGCAGATTTTGTAGTACCCATCCTCTCCCCAACTTTCTCCCCACGAGTTCTTTATGATCCAGTAAGGCTTCTCCTTGAACCGGATGATGGAATAACCCGCGGATCCAAAACCCACCAGAAGCACCCCATGGTCCAAATTCCGCTTCGAACAAATGTATGGGCACGAAACTCCCCCTATGTATGTCTGCATGAAAGCTGCATTGATTCCCACTACAGAACCAGAAAAGAAAAGGAAAGGCAATGTAAGTATATTTGTAGCTCATTACCCATATGAACAAATCATAAAGCCAATCTGAAACTTAATGGATAAATAATTGTAATACAACTTCCTGAATGGGTCCAAAGAAGCTAAACTACCTGCAAGAGGGCCATTCTTAACCAGATTTGCAGCAATTTGGTCTTCATCAAGTGAAACGACGCTGAAGTTGGATACTTTGGCAGCAATTTTGCTCTTATCAAATTTGCAGGTACGACCGTCTTTGCCAGTGTAAGGATAATCTTTCTCTAGTTCAAGTCCACCAGCCTTGAGAGCGTACTCAAAGGCATTATTCATGAGCCCACCGTTACACCCTGAATCACATGAACCATATTGTTCTGGATCGCACTGCAAAGATCACATCATTGATTTAATATTTTATTTAAACATGGTAGCTATTGGTCAAAGGCCTTGAAAGCTTTTTTATGCAATCCTTCAATTACATGAAGTAGAGTTATGAAATTTAAGGTTTTGTTTTTGTGAAATATTTTATCTACCTAGCTCAAATAATCCCTTCAATCATCTTAACTATATCACACAAAAAGAAGCCAAAGTAACAAAATCAACATTCGAGGGTCATGTTCACCACAACTAGAACATCCTGAAATATCATTTTCCCTACCTATTTGAACCTCCAGATTGTTATCCCTTTCTCACATTATGCTTAGTACAATATATTACAGATGTAGCACCCCAGTAGTTCAATACCTTGAAAATATCAATTTCTGTTTTGATGGAGGAAAAGGTAAGCGAACGAGAGCATTAGTTAGAGAAAAAGATATTAAAGGATAGGATATCCCTTCACTTTCATTTCCTTGCACTTCTAGATGAAATATAACCATTCCATTCCCTCCCACTTCCTACACAAACATGTATAAGTTTCACTCTGTTCCCTTTCCTTTCCCAACCCCTGCTTCCCGAAGGTCCCAAACCCTCTACAGAAACAATTTTCCATTGTTCCATGAGGTTGGTCATTTCACCACTATAATGGTGAAATTTCACTTGTAAGCAAATACAAACTGGCAAACTTTCACCATTATAGTAGCAAAATTTACAATTGATAGTGGTGAAATTCACCCACTGCATAGAAGTGGAAAAAGTGGAAAATCATGGCCAGAGAGATTTTGGTTCCTTTCCGAAACCCAGGAGTCCGACACAAATTTTTGGTTCAAGTAACAAAATGGTTGATGGTAAATGTATATACCAATACAAGTAGCAAAATCAGCACACATATATATTCACGATTAGTCAATTAACAAATCATCATCACCGCATAACTATGTCACAACAACTAAAACCACCACAAAGATTGACAACTAACATGGAATATTACTAATTCAAACCAAAAGCCGAATAAAGTAGCAAACCTCGTGGTCGCAGTCCACTAGCTGCTGTTCACTGAGGCTGACAAGCTCTCCAGTAGAAAGAAAGTGAGCTCCTTCCAAAGCTCCAGTCGCGCTAAAAGACCAGCACGATCCACAAGAACCCTAAAATTTCCCCAATTTAAAGCAAGATCAACAAGATAATCATCTATAATGATAATCAAAAGCAAACTAGACACAAAAACAAAACATACACATATATATAGTTAAAATTCCCCAATTAAACCGAAATTCAACAACATATTAACTATAATTACTATCAAATTGAAATCTATGTGTGTGTATACGCATAAAAGTTACAAACCTGATCTTTAACTCCAGTGACCGCACCGTGTTCTCGCCAGTCGAAATCGGTGGGAAGGTCGTTGGTCGGAAGGATCGGAGCCTTGCGAGCGTCGGTGGGAAGCTTGAGACGCTTCAATCCGAGACGAGTGCGTTGGAACTCCGCCGCCGTGAGGTCGGAGAACTTGGTGACGCCGTGTACGGCGGAGGGGTCGAGAAGCTGGTGACGTTTGGCTTGGCGCAAGTTAGCCTTGAAGATCGAAAGCCGGTAATCGTGCTCCTCCTGTGTGGCGTAGGTTTTGCCGAACTTTGTCTTGAAGAGAGAGAAGTGGTGATCGGCGTCTAGCAGATCATCCTCGCCGTCCGATACGACTTGGCGAATCAACAGATCGGCTTCATCGGTAGTGATGGCGGAGGCTACCGCAGATGATAGCAGGAGGAGGAGAGAGAAGAGAGAGAGTTTGTCCATGAAGAGAGAGAGACGGAGTGTGCGAAGAGTGAAGAGGAGTGTAAATTTTCCTTTGTTCTGAGCGTTTATATTGGCTCCAAGGAGATAGTTGGTGGGAAGGAGCAGTTGAGATTTCGACACGTGGTCTGATCCTGTTTGCTGACTTCATTATATGTGCGTGTGACTAGTTGAGCTACGGAACGAAGGAAGAGTATATAATACGTCGACGTCGCTTTAATTGCCAAGAAAATTGTGCCTGTTTTTGTTTGAATGCTAATTATTATTGCTTGCTGAAAATATCTATCGTTTAAATTTTGAATAATATACATATATTTATACAATGTAACAATATTGTTGGAACCAACCTTTTTTCATTTTTTTGTTTTCTTTTAAATAATTTAATAGTTATAAAAAGAATGAATAAGTTTTTTTAAACAGAGAGAAGAAAATCTAATTAATTAATTATGGTCAAATTAAATCTTAAGATTACAATTAAAATTAAGTATATTGCTCGTTGTCTATCACAGAATTAAATTAAATCTAAGGGTTTATTTGGTAGGATTGATTTGGAGGCATAGGAAGAGAAAAGAAAAGATTATGTAAGATTGTGTTTGGGTGGGTTAAGTAGAGAGAATAGGGAGACATAAGAAGGGATAACTCTATCCCTTATATCATTTCCCTCCTAATTTGAGAAGATAGGAAGGGATAATAAGTTATAAATTATTAATACCAAAAATGCTCTCTACAAATCAACATATAGAAATGTAATTCCATTTATGTTCCAATATGCTCAGTGGAATGCAAGGTTATTAAAAATTTTAGGATGTGAAGGGATTGAGTCAGATAGGTATAAGAGATACAACAAAAATAAAATTTTCACATGCTCATAAAAAAGGTTAAAGACTGTTATTACCTTCAACCATGTTGAATGGTTCATCTTAGTCTTGTGATATTTTTTCTTTTTATTTTTTTACTTTTGTTTTTACCCATGATATTGAATTATAAAAATAATAAATAAAAAAAAAAACAAGATTTTGGAAATGAATTGTATGAAGTGGTTATGAAATGATAGGACAGTAATTTGGTCACTATCATTTCTTTTTCTTTTTTTCTCTCATTTATCTCATCCAAACAATAATAGCTATCATTTCTTTTATTTTCTCCCATATCTATTCAAACACGAATATAAATTATTACTATCTTTTCTTTTCTTTCTTTTATCTCATTACTAATACTATCATTTCTTTTATTTTATCCCATATTTATCCAAACACACACTAAACACTTATATCACGAATTATTGCTGCAAAGCCTACAAAAAAAAATGTCAATCTCAAAATCTCATAAAACAAAATTGTTAAAAATTATTAAAATTAATAGTTTAATTTGGTCAAAACATAAACAAAATATAAAAGTTTCACTTATTTCTATCTTATGCTGTTAATGAATTTTACCATTTAGAATTAATGAATTTTGGTACAAAATATTAACTATATAATATCTTTTTTAAAAATTTATTCAGTATATTTCTCATATAAAAATAATTATTACAGTTATGAATTACTATTTGGGTAAAGAGCAAAAAATTCCTTTGAACCATATTGGAATTTGAAAATAATCTCTTTTAAGTATATTTTATTCATAGTACTTCCTAAACTATCACATTTTATTGCAAAATGTCCCAGTGTTTAGACTAATTTTCACTATTTTTCATTAAATGATCATAACATCATTTCTTATTAAATTACAATTAATTTATTTTCTCATTTAAAATAAATTATAAAAAAAATCCATATTAATTTGATGACATATTTTTCATTAAATTTGAATAAATTCACCTTTAATTTTTTAACTTAATTATTTAAATAAAAATCTTAAGTAGAAAATTTTAATATAATTTAAATAAATTTTTAATGATGAGTTAATCATTTAAAAATATGGTACTTACAAATCTATTTATTTTTTTACATTTTTATGATAAATTGATAATAATAATAAAATAAAGGTAAATGATATAGTTAATATTTAGGTAAGAGAAAAGATAATAAAAATAATATTATATAAAATGATAAATTTAATGAGAAATGATAAAATAGTCTTTTGTAATTGACTTGTTCTTAATTGTAACAAATCAATAGTTAATGGAGGCAATTTGTAATTCAAGATTATTTTCAAAAGGATAATAGTTTAAGGTTTTTATTTTTTATATATATATTTTTTTTCACTCTACCCTTACTATTTATACATTTTTGTTTAATATTATAAATCACTTTTATAGGGAGACGATATTGACACTCAACTTTTCTCAAATTGCACTCAATTTACATTTTTCTTCTTCTAAATGAAACTGCAACTCGTTAATGCACTATCTCTTATTTTATATTAGGAAAATGATACTTCCACTGAAGAGATAAACCATTTTCTCTTACCTAATCTATGTGAATATGCCATGTCACAATATTTAAAGTGATTTCTTATTGTCCAATATTTCTTCTTCTTCTTTTTTTTTTATATTTATTTTTTATTTCTCTTCAGTTTTTTCTCTAGTCATCTCATCCATCTTCCTCGTACAACCAAATACCTTCATGTAAATGATGAAAGAGATTTGATTAATTGTTAGTGATGATGCCTACGTATAAAATTTCAATAAATTCAAATTATATTATAAAAAATGAATGTTAATGGAGTCCAAAGTGGTTGTTGAGACCCTTTGTATAATTTTTTATGATAAAATCATATTAATAAAATTAAATTGTATTGTAGAAAATGAATTTTAATGGATTCCTGAAAGTTAATAAAATCATCTTCTTATATTTGTATTATCTTTACCTTTTGGTATCGTCTCTTATTTTACAATCAATTAAATCTATTATTATTTTTTTATAACCTTTCTTTAGTCTACACGGACAAAATAGAGATCAAAAATATTTATGGAGAAAAAATTAAAGATAATTAAAGAATGAACTAAATTCCTAATAGAAGACAAATGCTTAGTGCATAAAATATTTATAGAAAAGAAAATGGAAATAATTAAAGAAGGAATTAAATTTTTAATATAAGACGAACCGTTAGGGGATCGAAAATAAAATTAAATGTTGAATACTTTATAATGAGTCGGCATGACCCACTGCTAAATATTATGTCTTTTTGTGCCACATAAATTCTGCCTAGTAAATCGGTCTAAATTTTTTACTTATGTATCACGACTCTTTATATAATCATAATTACCTTTTATACAACTTTTAACTCTTTTTACCTTTTTACTTCTTTTATTATTATTATTTTTTTATGCTGTACTTTTTCTTCTTTTTTCACAATTATTGTGAAGAGACATCTTCAATAATTAGTTTTAGATAGTTTATTTGTGAAAATATAGGTACAGCAAAAAAGGACCACACTTGAAACAGAATGGCGTTTTCGAAGAGAAGGTGGATTCTATTTATATGTATGCTGGTATATGAATGTCCTCTGCGTATTTATAATTCTTCACAGAATACTACCAAAGTTGGAGATTACTGCTCTCTCCAAACTTAGTTACTCCAATTTTCTTCTCCAAACTAGTTTCTTCAATTATCTACACCACCTCTTTCTTTTTTATTTTTTTTGTAATCAAGAAAATAACAGAAACCGATTTTTACTCTGTTAGTGCAATTCTCCATAATCTTTTTTTTTCCTTGCTTTTTTTATGAGTTCTTTTAATTTCAATATCTAACTTTTATTGTTCATTAATTTTTTTTTTCCTCCCCTCAGAAAGAAGAGTTGATGGAGATTGAAGATTCCAAGAATAACGAGGATTTAAAGAAATTAATTAGTACTGTAGTTTAACAAAAAAATTTATTTTACTTTTTTAGTCTTTAGGTTATGTATAGGATATTTTTTTTTTTGTTGAGGGTTTTGACTTTTGAGTTCTTCAAGATTTTTTTACCTGCCATTTGAGCCATTTCAAATAAATGAATAAAATTTCGCTTGTGAATTATTGGTATTAAATTAAATTATTGTTATTGTTATTTTAAAATTAAAAACAAACACACTCACCCACAGGCGGCATGAGAGGTTTACAATTTCAAATTATTGAAATTTCAAACTTTTCAAGAATGAATCAAAGCCACACATGCCTTAGTGTCTGTCATGATTATATTTGTATTCAAATCTCAAGACTTTTACCACTACACCGATAGTGATTTATATATTCTATCAATAAAATATTTCCAAGTAAACCAAGAGGTCCGATTCCATTTTAATTTCTCTTTCAGTGATACATCATCAATGACGTTCGAAAGTTTGGAGTTTAGTTGCCATATCTTTTCACATGATTCATGCCACCCCCTTATAGTGTAACAAACATTTTTATTTGGCTCCTTCGTTTAGGGTTCGTTTTAGGGGTGTTTGATCATTTTTTGAAAATTTAGTTTATATAGTAAGTATTTAAAATTTTGGATAAAGTACAATCATACCCTTAAAGTTTGGTAAAAAAATATTCAGAAGAAACTTATCTGTTTTTTAGACAAAAATACCCCTTGAAGGTTTAAAAATGAACAAAGCATCCCTTTGCATGAAAAATTGACCAAATTACCATTTGACCATTTAAGAGACTTTTTTAACTTTACAATTTAATAAATTACACCAATCTACCATCATAAATAATTTATACATAAATAAAAATAAAATAAAATAAAACTTTATATTGTTCACTTCTTTTTTTTATTTATTTACTTTATAAATGTCCCAACTTCTTAAAAATGTAACTGTCTAAAATGATTTTTTGATTCAATACATATATTTCAAATAAATTATATTTTATTATTACTTCTTTTTCTTTTTTCTTTTTAAATTAAGATGCTTAATTTTTTCTTCTAAAAAAATTAAATCAATCTCTTTTGCTTAAAAATAAAAAATATGGTACCAGTTTAACTTTATGCATCTTAAATTATATATCAAATATTATGAATTTTCCAACATAAAAGAAAATAGGCACTAGTACAACTTTATGCATGCCTTTGTTTTATTTATTTTTTCCCTTTGTTTTATTTTTTTTTTCCCTTTGTTTTATTATTATTTTTTTTCCCTTTTATGTTGGGAAATGCATAATATTTGATATTTAATTTAAGATGCATAAAGTTATACTGGTATCATATTTTTTATTTTTAAGTAAAGAGATTGGTTTAATTTTTTTACATGAAAGAATTAAGTATCTTAATTTAAAAATAAAAAAGAAAAAGAAAAGAGATACTAACAAAATATAATTTATTTGAAATATATGTATTCGTTCAAAAAATCGTCTACATTTTTAAGAAGTTGGGACATTTATAAAGTAAATAACAATTTTTTATTTTTGTTACTTTTTTTTATGCATAAATAGTTCACGAGGGTAGATTGGTCCAATTTATTGAATTGTAAAGTTAAAAAAGTCTCATAAACGGTCAAATGGTAATTTGGTCAATTTCTCATGTAAAGGGGTGTATTTGTCTATTTTTGAACCTTTAAGGGGTGTCTTTGTCCAAAAAACGGATAAGTTTCATCTGAGTGTCCTTTTGTCAAACCTCAGGGGGTGTGGCTGTACTTTACCCAAAATTTTAATTTAAGGATTAGAGATTATTTAATAATGTAATTGAATTAAATTTTTACTTTTAATCATTATTATTTGATTAAGAATTATAAATAATTTAAATATTATAATGTTTAGATTTGGTACATAGGTAATTAAACCATTATTAAATGGACTATGTTTGGATTGATCTATTTAGTAAAATGTCCTTAAATTGACACAACAAGATTATGACCTGCACACGAATTGCCACCTCTAGTCAATATAGAATTATATATATATATATATGTGTGTGTGTGTGTGTGTAAAGAAAAGAAATGCATTATTACAAGTTGATATTCTTAGGCTTTGTTTGGATAAATTCTGAAGAAAAGAAAAGAAAAGAAATAATATTTTTGTTTGAAAACAGTAGAGAAAAGAAAAAAAGAAAAAAAAAAGAAGAGGATAATAATAAAATTACTATCATATTATTTTATAATATGTGACTCAAATGTCATAACATATATATTTTTAATTTGTTGATGACAATTTTGAAATTATTTAAGTAACACTTAAGTTAAGTACCATCACATCTCTCCATATATTTGGGAGAATATAATAGATGCTTAACTTATTTTCTTAAATTAGAAAGAAGGTGAATTAATGAAGTAAGTATGACCTTTTGATCAAGGGCCTTGTGGCTAATCTCTTTTTATCTTTGAAAGTGAATGATAATGATTCGAATTTTCAAAGAAGTAAAGTGGGTGTGTGAGTCGAGTGTATGAGTTTCTTGCCGATGAAAAAAAAGAAAGAAAAAGTATGACCTTTTGCAAGGGGTGCGGTGTTTCACAATTCGACCCAAAAACTTTTAAACTATTAAATGTGATTAATACATAACCTATATATATTCATTTACTACTCCATCCCGGACAAATCCTCGGTGTAACATAATTTAGACCATATTATATATCCTTAAACTGTATGACTTAAATTGGAGAAAGCATCACGATTAGCGAACAAGTTACTGAGTATAATTTATATATCCATGATTAGGTAACGAGCTTTGTTGGTCTCTCAAGGAATCCCAACCTCATGTAATAATGCCTTAGAGCTGTTGGGCTTGTCAATCCACACGGCCCTTGGGTTTGTTGGGCCCTTATGTTCTTGGGCCTATACACAAACTGTACATACTCAAGTTAGATTTATACATATTGCTTGATTTATCATGGAAAAAAAAAAGGAAAGAAAAAGGAATCCCATGTTCCCAACCTTTCATTGCTGATGCCATAAACAACCAATTCTAGGTTCTCTTTATTTATTTATTTTCCCTTATCGATTTGATAAACTTTTCTTTTTTATTTAAAAAATAAATAAAGAAATTAATTTTCACAATTAATGGATGTATAATTTAAATACCCGCGGACAGGGGAAGATTATTAAATTAACGCACTATCTCATAAGATTAAGATAAGCTCTACAAATTACGATAAATATTAAGCCTACAGATTATGATAAGGATTAGGCCTACAGATTACGATAAGTATGAAGACGAAGGTAAGTCTACGATACATCCTGACCTAAGCTCTATAAAGAAAGAGGCTAATCGACGTTTTAAGGTATGCAATAGATCCCAACTCAATTTCTTGATTTCTCTAGAGAGATTATTTTGTATACTGACTTGTTCGTCGGAACCTAATTTATCGGTAACACACCGGTGCCTGTAGGATCACCTTTTCTTCTCTTTGTTCAGGAACTCAGATCAGATCCGAGTTGCGCAGAATTTTGCATCAACAGTTGGCGCCATCTATGGGAACGATTTTAGTTCTCTAAACAAAGCATGTTTCAATTGCGATCTGGTCTGGCTGCTGGCGAGGACGAAGCGTTGCAGACTTCTGATCAAGGGGACTCGACAAGGCAACCCCCCATCGTCCTAAACGATCAGGAATGCGTCGCAGCGTCAAAACAACAGGTTCAAACCTTAAATGAGGGAATTAACCAATTAGTCTAGAAAAATGCGATGATTCTGCAACGCCTAACCGCCCCCAACGAGGTAGAAAACAGTGAAGTACCCAATAATAACTCCCGTAGGATTGACAACGACGCTGAGCTTAGTCAAATAGGGGGTCAACAGAGAAGCCATTACCATCGATTTCTTGAACAGAATACCACCGGGCTCCGTGGAGATACCTCTGGTTATGTTGGCGACAAGACTGAGGACGTCACTCATTTCGATCTACAGATGCAAGATATGAGAGCTAGGGTTGAAGACGTCATGCAAGCGATGAAAGTGAAAGGCCAGGCCGCAGTGAATGATCTGGTACAGAAGACCAACCTAACATTTAGCCTAGCTGTTATGAGTTGTCCTCTACCTAGCAAATTCAAGATGCCAACTCTTGAGAGCATCGATGGGACGCAGGACCCTCTCGATCATTTGGAGATTTACAAAGCTCTTATGTATTTGCAAGCCGTACCGGACGAGATTATATGCAGGGCTTTCCCTACCACACTAAAGGGTTGGGCTCGTCTCTGGTTCAATAAATTAAAGCCAGCATTAAAAACTTTAATGAGTTGAGCAAACAATTCATAGGACACTTCATCGCTGGGCAGAGGCACAGGAGACCAGCAACACACTTATTGAATGTGAAGCAGCAGAAGGAAGAGCCTCGTTGTGATTACATAAGTCGTTTTAACACTGAAATGCTACAGGTGGACGACAAGGTTGCCCTCACAGCTTTTATGGGAGGACTACAGACCTCTAAGTTCCTATTCTCCTCGTCAAAAGAAGCCCCTACGAGTATGGCAGAGTTGATGGTTAGAGCGCGGAAGCACATGAACGCTGAGGATATTATGAATGCACGAAAAAACAAAGATGGTGAAGATAAGAGGTCAAATAAAAAGAGGCCAGCACCTAGCACCAGGGAGGAAAATGAATCAAAGTACAAGAAATTCTCAGGCAGCCAGGCTGACAGACCGTCTCGTCGTCCGGTGAGTCCAGGCAGGTATAATAACTATACCCCTCTAAACATATGTATAAAGCAGGTCTTTCTGCAGATTCAAGATGACTCACCATTGAAATGGCCGCCAAAGTTAAAAGCTGATCCAACAAAGAGGTCTCGACGTAAATACTGTAGGTTCTACTGGGACTATAGACATAACACAGAAGATTGTTTCGACCTCAAAAACCAGATCAAAAACCTTCTTCGCAAGGGTCATTTACGCAGATTCATGACTAAGAATGGAAGAAGAGGTTCCAACCCAGCCCTAGAGGGCCGAGATGATCATCTTCCTCAACACTAACCAATAGGTAAGATCAAAGTTATATCGGGTGGCTTCACTGGTAGTGGCGAGATGAGTTAAGCTCGGAGGGCTTATGCCAGGAGAATTCAGTGTTTTTCAGAGGTGAATGAAGTTAGAGTGACAATTCTTCCAACAAAATTACTGCGAGTTGAGAAACCGGACATATTTTCTGAAGAAGGTGACAAGCGAATTCACCAGGCCCATAATGATCCTTTGGTATTTTCCATGGTCGTCTCTAATTTCACTGTTCAACGAATACTTATTGACAATGGCAGCTCAGCTGACATATTATTCATTGAGGTGTTCGACAAATTGAAAAATTAGCTGAAAAAAACTACGACCTATAAAGTCACCACTGGAGGGATTTTTAGGCGACAAAGTATATCCACTGGGGGTAGTTACCCTTCCAGTCACTGCAGGAGCCCATCCAAAGCAGGTTACTGTGATGGTGGACATTCTAGTGATGGACTTCCCATCATCATACAACATTATCCTGGGGAGGATAACCCTGAATGCCATGAAAGTAATCTACTTCCCTTGTTAAAGGGTGAGCTGAGTGAAACTCATAGTAATCTACTTTTCTTGTTAAAGGGTAAGCTGAGTGAAGCTCATAATATTCTACTTCACTTGTTAAAGGGTGAGCTGAGTGAAGCTCATAGTAATCTACTTCCCTTGTTAAAGGGTGAGCTGGGTACAGCTCATATTAATCTAATTCCCTTGTTAAAAGGTGAGCTGGGTGAAGCTCATAGTAATTTACTTCCCTTGTTCAAGGGTGAGCTGGGTGAAGCTCCCAGTAATCTACTTCCTTTGTTAAAGGGTGAACTGGGTGAAGCTCGTATTAATCTACTTCCCTTGTTAAAGGGTGAGTTGGGTGAAACTCATAGTAATCTACTTCCCTTGTTAAAGGGTGAGTTGGGTGAAACTCATAATAATCTACTTCCCTTGTTAAAGGGTGAGCTGGGTGAAACTCATAATAATCTACTTCCATTGTTAAAGGGTGAGCTAGGTGAAACTCATAGTAATTGTAATACCCCTAATTTTAAAAGGACAGTCCTGGAATTTAATTTAATTATTTATTGTATTTTTATTAAATTAATTGAGTATTTGCTTGTTTTAATTAATTAATTAATTGCTTATTTGATTTATTTTTTTAAAATTCAATTACATTGTGATGACCTTGTGGGGGGGTGTGCCGTGGGCGGGTGCAAGAGACACTGTCAGGCTACCACACTGGCGAGCTACGGGTGCACAAGTCCCACATCGCCTGGGTAGAAGAAAGGTGAAGTGGTTATATGTAAGTGTGTCATCTCTAATTGGTATAAGGCCTTTTGGGGTAAAGCCTAAGAGCAAAAAAACCGTGAGGGCTTAGGCCCAAAATGGACAATATCATACCATGTGGTGGAGTGGGTCGTTACAAATGGTATCAGAACCTGACCCAGCCGGAAGTGTGCTGACGGGGACGTCGGGCCTCCAAGGGGGGTGGATTGTGATGACCTTGTGGGTGGGTGCAAGAGACACTGTCAGGTTACCACACTGGCGAGCTACGGGTGCACAAGTCCTACATCGCCTGGGTAGAGGAAAGGTGAAGTGCTTATATGTAAGTGTGTCATCTCTAATTGGTATGAGGCTTTTTGGGGTAAAGCTCAAGAGTAAAATCGTGCGGGCTTAGACCCAAAGCGGACAATATCATACTATATGGTGGAATAGGTTGTTACAAATGGTATTAGAGCCTGACCCAGTCGGAAGTGTGCCGACGGGGACGTCGGGCCTCCAAGGGGGGTGGATTGTGATGACTTTGTGGGCTGGTGTACCGTGGAGGGGTGCAAGAGACACTGTCAGGCTACCACACTGGCTAGCTGCGGGTGCACAAGTCCCACATCGCCTGGGTAGAGGAAAGGTGAAGTGCTTATATGTAAGTGTGTCATCTCTAATTGGTATGAGGCATTTTGGAGTGAAGCCCAAGAGTAAAACCGTGCTGGCTCAGGCCCAAAGCGAACAATATCATACCATGTGGTAGAGTGGGTCGTTACAGTAATCTACTTCCCTTGTTAAAGGGTGAGTTGGGTGAAACTCGTATTAATCTACTTCCCTTGTTAAAAGGTGAGCTGGGTGAAGCTCGTATTAATCTACTTCCCTTATTAAAAGAGACGAGCTGAGTGAAACTCATATTAATCTACTTCCCTTATTAAAAGGACGAGCCGACTAAAGATGCCAATAAAATCAAGTATAAAATAACATCACTACGACTGGTACTACTTGGTTTTCTGGAAAATGGAAATAATTTGAATGAATTCTACTCAACCATCTCGATTTATAGAAGAAGAATGTAAACAAATAAGGAAGAGATTTATGGTGGAGTTCTAACAGAAATCTGCTTCGTGAGAGACAATAAGCTCCTAGAGGGCTATTTTGCGTATGAATTTACTTCTGCAAGGTGGAATTGCAGACGACATGTTGGTCAGAGAATAGTATTATGAGACAATCCTCGAATAGGATAAGCACACTGGCAGCCCCACTTGAGTTGCCTATGTGCTGAAAGGTAGGCTGTCAACACAGCAGCTTGCCACATATACTAGCTACCAATGTGGCACTACGACAAATATGTCAAAGACATCTACGGTCCTAAAAGAAAAATAAATAAATAATTTTGAGTCAGGCTCTACCCCCGCCCTCGATTATGTCAGGCTAAATTTGTGCTAGGCTAAATTTATGTCATGCTAAATTTGTGTCAGACTCGACCCCCGACTGTGTTTGCGAAGTGGCAATATGAATCAGGCTAATGGGCAAGGCTCTACTATCTAATAATCAAACTAACTTATTATAGAAATACGAGGTGAGCGACTCTACAATTCTAAATATCTATTATTATGTAATATTTGGGAATTAATGTTTTGGTGGGTTGACAAACAATTCTCTGAAACGGGGGGCAACTGATGGATGTATAATTTAAATACCCGCGGATATGGGAAGATTGTTAAATTAACACACTATCTCATAAGATTGAGATAGGCTCTACAGATTACGATAAGGATTAAGCCTACAGATACAGATCACGATAAGGATTAAGCCTACAGATCACGATAAGGATTAAGACGAAGGTAAGTCTACGATACATCCTGACCTAAGCCCTATAAAGAAAGGGGCTAATCGACGTTTTAAGGTATGCAATAGATCCCAACTCAATTTCTTGATTTCTCCAGAGAGATTACTTTGTGTACTGACTTGTTCGTCGGAGCCTACTCCACCGGTAACACACTAGTGTTTGTAGGATCACCTTTTCTTCTCTTTGTTCAGGAACTCAAATCAGATCCGAGTTATGCCGAATTCTACATCAACAACAATTATTAGTTAAATATATTCGTGCTGTAGCGTAGAGGGGTTGTGTGTTACTCTCTAGCTCCTCCACACTCTCGTAATTTCCTTTTGTCTTATGAGTCAAGCTATTATTCCCTGCGCTGTGTCCCAGGTTTTCTTAGGTACACCTTTTTTCAAATTAGAATTGTCAGAGAATGTTGCCCAAGCACTCTAACACCTTTAACCAGGGTGGCTCGAAAATTATATAAGTGACCTCTCAATATATTAGTAATATTATTTTACATGAAAATTTTTTTAGAGTAGGGCAATACAAATCTAAGGAAATAATATTTTTTTTCCGAAGTATAAAAATATAATAAAATAAAGAAGTCTATAATATATTATTAACCCAATTTCTCATTGTAAATAATAAGAATAATAACAATAATAATAAACAGTAAGGAAGTAAAAATTTTAGTGCCTTATAGTATGGAAATAGTTACAATTAGTTGGAATTAATAATATAAGGAAATAAAAATGTTAGGAACTTAGAAAGATAAAATAATAATTTTAAGGGCTTAATAATATAAGGAAATAAAATTTTTAAGAAGTCTAATCAAGGAAGAAAATAATAATTTTAGGGGCTTAATAATAATAATAACAATAACAAGGTTTAAGTGCAAAAAAACACCTGCTATATACAAAAGGTTAAAAAAAAACACCCTATTGTGCAAACAAGGACATTTCAGTTGAAATGTTTGAAATATCCCTATAATTTTTTCTCCTCTCCTCTCCTCTCAGATTCTCTCCCCCCTATCTCTCGCTGCCACAACCATCACCTTCGTTACCACCCTAACGCCGCCACCCCCACCACTTCATGGTACATAGCTCGGTTGATATTGCTGTGAGCTTCTTCGGTCTGATCTTGAGCTTCGCCGACATTCGACTCAAGTGGGACCAGTGGGTCTTCGTCATTGCTTGGGCATTTGATTGGGTGAACTAGATTTTGCTCCTTTGAGCTCACTGAAAATGATGGAAGCTTTAGTTAGGCACTTGAAGATTGTCGAGCTTCAAGCAATGCCCAAAAAATGGGTCTGTAGAGAGAGAAAAAGAGGAAAGAGAGTAAGTTACAAGGTCAGACCGAAAATGAGGAAGTTACAGGGGGTGTGACAACGAAGGACGACAGCGGCGACGTAGCTGAGCTTAGCGGTTGTCATTTTGGCAGAGGTGGGGGAATTGAGTTTTGGGGCATAGTCGAGGAGGGCGTCGAATAGGTTTAGGTAATGGAGAGGCCGTCGGCAGAGGTGGTGGTAGTGGTGGTGGAGGTGGAGATGTGTGATACCCCTCGGATCCGAGACACGGGTTGATCAGGCTCAGACCCAAACCCGAAGGAAATATCAAACAATTAATACTTTAATGAACACAGAATACAAAATAAATAAGAAAAATATAATGAGCTGGAAGAAACTAAAATAATAAAATTAAAAATCCTCAATAATATAATTATTAAAATCCGATAATCCAAACTCCATAAGTTTAATAACTCGAGAATCCATCCAGTGGACCCCTTATTAAAACCTCAACTGAAATTAATCTAATACCAAACACAGAAAAGATTCTTACATAATCGGAGGAATGAGTGTCTGTATCTGCTCTGCACGTCTAAGCTCTAACTCTGGAACTGACGAACACCTGAAAAATAAAAAGTGGATCAGGCCCACATGCAAGTCCTGATCTACTACAATCCAAACAGAAATTCGATACGCAGATACATCCTAGAAAGACTCAACAATATCTAGAGTAGTCTATATATGTATATATATAATACACACTATATGACGCTCGCTAGTCCAGTAGGTCTGTCTCAGCCTGAGTAGAGATACCATGCAAATCGCACATAATGTGGTCATGAGTACCTAGACCTACCAGGGAACAAAACCTATGTCCAATTATCCATTCTAGGCGATATACGCGCCTTAACCATGGTCCTGAAACTCAAACTCATACCATGGCACCATATGATAGATATA